TCTCTACACAGAAATGCTTGTCACAGTTATAGCTAGTCTTCTTTTAATGGATTTAAAAAACATTTAAGAATTTATGTCTTAGTTGAAATAATTTAAATCTGATGCTACGTGAGTTTTGGACGTGACAAGTGTGGCAATTCCTAATGTAATGACAGTCTCATACACGGGGCGGATCCAGAGCTATTTACTGACAGTATTCCAAATTAGCTTTGTTGATTTTTGAATGTCTTCCGACAGAAAAAAATAGATAATCGTCAAACTAAACTTAGACTCAGAAGACTGCCTCAATCCGCCCCTGTTATTACAACTGTGTTATTGTGGGATTATTACAAATTAATAACAAGGACCTTGATATTTAAATGTTAATTTGATTAAAATCGTACAACTCCCTCACCAGTTTTCAAGAACTACGTGTCTAATGATACTTTTTTAAACATGATTTTGTCTGACCAGATCAGGGAGAGAAGAGAAGGAAAGCTAGAGAACGATTAGACATCTAGGAGTATAGCCCCAATCTCCCTCCTTGTCATAATGTAAATATTACTGCAATAAAAATCCTTTAGAAAATATTACAACACCTGAATTCGATTAGAATCGTAAACGGTATAAACAACTAACCAGAAAGAATCATAGAAATTTGTAAAGAACGTTTGGAGATATCTCTCCCCCCCCCCCCCAATAAAACTGAGACGGAAAACGTAACCGTTTTCGTTAAAGCAGGGCGCAAACTCACCTTCTTCAACTGAAATTGTCTCTTTTTGAACCCCCTCTTTGTCAGAGCGAACACTGAAGGTTTATGCAGAAAAGATAAAATTCGAAACATTTCTTTTCCGCGTCTTGTCAAAATTATACTATCGGACTCCTACAAACTGTATCTAAACTGCTGTTGTAGAAAATGATGTAATTGTCGTAAGCCCGTTCTGTCTCGCCCCGACATTAACCACTAAAGTGACATTATGCAACATAACATACATTATTTAGGCGGGGAATAATGTTGCGTTTGTGTCTTTGAATTTGGGTTATTTTTTCTTCGTCTGTTACGAATGTTGCTTCGAAGTGGGGATATCATATTCCTTTTCATACCAATATCCGCACGTCTCGTTGTCTGATGTGAAAAAACTCTACCGGCAATGGCTAGTTTAGTGGCCTGTGTACTTTAAACTGAAAATCACACATCTCTGGCATGATGGCAATATATTTTGTCATAGTGAATTGAATGTATATATGACCCCATTCCCATACCTAGATCAATCTAGCAAGATCGAACCATCTACGAGGGGATTCTCGCTAAATCACATTTAGCTTAAGCGGCTTAGATGCCTGGCACAGCTACTGAAGCTGCTAAATGATAGTTAATTACAGATTCTGTAGGCGCGCCAGACATCAGAGCTGCCTTTGTTGAGTGCAATTTAGCGAGAAAACCCTCGGAGATGGGTCGATCCTGCTAGATCGATCTAGGTACCGGAATGGGGTCTATGACAAGTCTCTAATGTCTGGCACCAGACAGGTTGATTGTGACAACAATCATTTCTCCTAGGTCACTATCTCAGTGAATCTAGGCATCAGCCATTAGTAAAAAAAGAAGCACACAAGTTATCTTTGCACTCCTTCGAATAGGAAACCGACCACGCTCTCACAAGTTTATTAAATAAGCATTTAGATCAGCCCAGCGTACTAGCTGAATCGATCCAACTCTGCGGGAGATTTTCCCTAAGTGCAATCACTGTAATGGGCTTAAATGTCTGACACGCCTCCTCGATTTGCTAAGGGGTAATTAACTAATTAACTAGCTACTCAAGGAGGCGTGTCAGACAATTAAGCTGCTAATACTGAATGCACTTTTGTAGCCAGAATCCCCTGGTAAGTAGATGGATTCATCTGGTGTGAAGTTTGAATCTGAACGAGGTCATAGAAAGACCTCCTTTTTCGATAATCGCCTGCATCGCAATTTCGTTTTTGTAGTCAAATATAGGTCGAACACAGAAACGTAGGCATTACATACACCACTTTTGTTGTTGTTTCTTTTTTTTTTTTGTTGTTGTTGGCTTTGTACGACAAATATAGTTGAAAGGGAGAGTGTTGAAGCTAATTGCATTTTAGTTGCTTTCAAGCTGTGTCACAGCTATTAAATGTATAAGCGACATCAGGTCAGAAAGACAGGAGAGAGAGAAAAAAAGACTAAAAATCCGGGGTTTGCTTTGCAAAATAACGTAAGTCTGAATAGTAGTCTAAACGTTTAGACTAACATTTTAGTTTGCTTTGACACGAGACAAACCAATAGATCTTATTATGAGGTTAAGTATTATATCCAGTCTACACCACGAAACGGTGCAGAGTAACACAATTTATGTCTCCTTGATCTAAGCTGATGTAAGAAATAGGATCTGTCATTTAAAAGAATGGAACAAACTGAAGTGTGATTTTCGAAATTTGGCCGATGAAGGCCGCTTTTTATGGAAGTCCCATTAATAAAAAGAAATAAAGCATATTAATAATAAACATCGAATAATGTTGATAAATGATATAAACATTATGTGTGCGCCAGAAGTATCTACATTTACAGGCCCGTAGCCAGGGGGGTTCAGGGGGTTCGAACGAACCGCCCTTCTTGCTGGGAAAAGATCCACTTTGGATAAAATTTGATTTAGGTACATGAAGTTTTCATGAGAAAAGGTCCACTTTTTCAGAAAACGAACCCCCCCCCCCCCCCCCCCATTTGAAATTGCTGGCTACGGGCCTGATTTAAAATATAATTCCAAACAAATAGTGCACACATTTCAAATTGTGGGGTTGCAAAGAGGCCAAGAGAAAGGGGAATTTTTTTTAGGGGGGGGGGAGAAAAAGGAAAGGAAGCACCTCCTAAGCAAGAAGTTACAATGTATAAAGATCCTAAGCTAGGGGGCACGTTGCCCGCTGTACACTGCCCTACGTATGTATTGTAAATACACAGTGTAGAGCACTACAGTCTGGTGGTCTCTTTGCAACTGCACTGATGTTTGCAGATGTGAACTCTGTCTATTGAACTACCTATATCTATATTTATTTATTTATTTATTTATTTGTTTATTTATTTATTGTTTGTTTGTTTGGTTACCTTTTGGTGGCATACTCAAGCGAACTGTCAGTGAAGTAATATAAAGGAATAAAGGAAAAAGCCAATCCATTATTATTAGTAGTAGTAATAGTAGTAATTGTAGTAGTAGTAGTAGCTTAGTAGTAGTTGGTGTCATCAGTTTGAAATAAAAGAACCGCAGCGGTGGTTATAAACTAGTAGTAGTAGTAGTAGTAGTAGTAGTAGTAGTAGTAGTAGTAGTAGTAGTTGAAGTTGTAGAAGTAGTATAGTGATAGTATATATATGTAGCAGTGGTATTACATATGTAGAAGTACACGTAATTTTAGTAGTAAGGTGCATGTACAAGTAGTAATAGTAAAAGTAGTAGTTCTATTTCTAGTTGTAGTACATATGTAGTAGAACATGTAGTTTTAGTAGTAGTAGTAGAACATGCAGCAGTAGTATCACAGGAATAGTTGTATTAACATACAGGTCTTATAGTCTAAGTCTACCCGTCACGCTCCACGGTGTCGTCTGCTTTCCTATTTACACCGACGCTGAGGTGTGCTGGTAGGTTTTCTTTCCTTAACCACATCACTCTTAATCTCTCTCCGTGTTCTACGGAGAAATCATTAGAGTAATTTAAATAAAATCTTCTAAATTTGTAGACCGATGTTTATTAGAGGCTCCACCGAAGTTGACCGAACGTGGACAATTATTGTAAGAAATGCAGATGCACCCAGTTAGGAGAAATCAGAAGGGGATTAAGCCGTGGAACGCTATGGACACGGCGGTATGCTCATTAAACGGAGTTAAAGTAGGCCCAAAAGACTTAAATCGCGTCCGTGAAGAGATAGTGCGTACGTTACCATATTCATTTAAAATTAAATCAAATATTTACTTTATTAAAAGTATACAATGCGACTTACAATTTTAGTATAGCAAAGCCGTTAGTTTATATTCTTGAAAAGTCATCAAGTTTGCCCTATCACCAAGGTTCACAATATCTAAAGCTTCTGACAAAATTATGATCTCTAAACCCTCAAAATGATAAATTTATGAGTTCAAAAACCTTGTTTCTAGGTCGTAATTTGTTAACAGTTTCGG